ACTGGATCTTCCTCATACTATATTTGGTGTGGTAGATGTATTTCTCAATGTTCACCGTATATTTCGACCTTACAACTACACTGTTACATTAGACTACAGTTTAGATTTTCATGTGAGATTCTGGGATCTTCTATATTGCAAATTATCGTGGATTCATGTAACACGTCTTCACATGTGAAGGCTGAGAAGTTCTTCCTAGTCTCTTTGTTTGTTGCCTCGTTCAGAATGCTAAAATAAGCCAAAATTTACATAATCTAATTAAAGAGAGCATGGATCGTCTTTCGTCCAACATGCTGACTTCCAAAAAGTGAGCAGTGGTATGTTTTCACGGATTATAATCAAATCAACCTGATTAAAGTTTCGACGCGACATTATTTGAGTATTGTATATTTAGAACCGGAGTATATGAGTAGGCATACACCGATACATGTGTCTTTATGTCCATGTAAATATGTAACTACACACTGGCAAGAAAGTTTCGACGCGACATTAATTGAGTAATGTATATTCAGAACCGGAGTATATGAGTAGGCTTACACCGATACATGTGTCTTTATGTCCATGTAAGTATTTAACTCCACACTGGCAAGGTTCAATACTTATAAATGATATGTATTCGAATATATGGGAGTTATTCATATTTTATCACTTAGAAGTAGCACTTGTACCAGTGGTGATTTTTTTTTACCAATTAGTTGTTTCAAGGAATATATCTGGGTGGATCAACTGATATCGAGATACGAAATGAAAATTTTACCGACATGTTAACGCATAAATTTATACCTTAAGAGACATGAACCCTAGATGAAAACAATTTATTCATAGAAAACCATTTTGGTTCGTAAAAAACGAACTACATATTATAAAAGTCCGACGTCCGTGATTTTGATGAAAAGTATCGTCCTCCTTTGGTTCGCCTGTGCCTTCGGGCCATACAGCGAGAACGCGCGAGACGAACAGTACCAGTGGTGACGTGAGTCTCCCGCCATAATCAGCAATTCGGGTCCGGAGTCCCTCTTGTCAGTGTCTGGAGGGCCTGAAGCGACAGCTCAAACGTAGGGTGCGAATTTGATGGTAAGCCGTTGTCGATGATGTATTTGTTGAGGGTTTTTGCGACCCGTAGGTGTGAGGCATTAGTCCTCTGCCAGTATATTCGGTTAACTGTTGAGGACAAGCGGCGCAGGATCATAGCTTCGCTTTCGTCAATTCCGGCTTCACGCAGAGCTGTGAGTCCCCCGATTCGGAATGAATGACCAGAAAAATCAGGTGCTTTTAGTCCACATATTTTTAGGGTCCTAAAAAATTGTTCTTTGAAAGTAGATTTTGTATAGGGTTTGTTGTCAATTGAAAAAAGGTGGCTGCTACTTTTTTTCGTGTGTAGTAACCTATAGCCATTGTACGAGGGCTCTGTATGGGCAGATATGAGCCAAAGGCGAGGGAGGTGAGGTATTGTGATCACGGTGGCGTGTTCTTGGCTTGTTTTTGACACCGGGAGAGTTATTTCGGCGTATGTTGCATGAAGAATAACGCCTTTACAACTACATGAGTGTGAGGAGAGTAGTATGCCAGATTATCGTGAACAGTGAGTTCACCTGACCGCATCAGGCCAAATACGCCTATTAAAATCATCGTGAAAAGTCGTTGTAGTTCTAGATTGCGAGGTCTACTGACAACATAAGGTTGAATGTGTTTGAGAATGAGTGAAGGTGTGAGAGGTTTACGTGTGCGCTTTGAACTTGCTCTGCCTTCTGCAATACGTGTGCGGCGTACAGCTTTCTTGAGCAGTAGTGCAAGACTTTGTCTATCGGGCAGTGAAAATCCAGAAATTGCCTTTGGGCGCTGCTGGCTGTTTGCAGGGTTGAGGGGCGGAAGGTAAACTTGAAAATTGACTTCGTGTGGTCGACCACGGCCTGGCCGATCAAGTTCGGTGCGAAGTTTTTCAGTCCGACGCCTGAAGTGTCTGATCGGAATGGAAGGTTCAGCGGTGACCACTACTTTTCCTTGTTTCAGCTTTTCCTTTATCGGGTCTGGTAAAATCGTCAGAAGAGAGCGTAGAGTTGATTCGGTATCTTCCATAGTCTTGATTTTCTTCGTTTCAATGCCTTTAATTCCGAGGCGTGTGCTTCGTCTCATTCCGCTTGTTCCTGTTCTCGTAGTCTATCTCGATCAGCTTGTTCTTGCTCCCGTAGTTTATCTCGATCAGTTTGTTATTGATCTCTCAGTTTTCCTTGCTCGATTAGAATTTGAAATTGTTGTTCGTGTTTCAGAGCCATAGCTTCTAGGATAGCGGCGAATTCGGACTGTTCGCCTATAGTACCGTCGTTCAATCGCTTAGTCGTTGGTTCTTCAGTTGAATCTTCAGATGTCCAAGAACGTTTCCCAAAGTTATTAGTATCAGTTGTTGTCGCGTTAGTAGTAGTTTTTTTTCCGCTGGAACCGACATCGTGTAGTTTTTGTTTCTTCTTTCTGGGGCTTCTGGGGGTTGTATCTGAGAAGTGATGTCTCACACTGATCCTTGTAGTCCTTATATATTCGGCCGGGGGTCTCATTTTGGTTTTTTTTTTTGACCGGATTGCAGGACTGGGTCTTGTGTTCGGATTTTTTTCTAAAACAACCCCAGAAGACTTGTCCAGCACTTTTAGAGTTATTAAAACATTATGTTTTCATTGTATAACTATATATAAATAAACATGTGCGGACTGGATTGAATATTGAACAGCTGCTATACGAGATAGATAGTACCTTGATTTTCATATGCCTCTATATTATGTTTTCTTTACAAGCAACCAACTGCCGCGTGGCTCAGTTGGTAGTAGCGCAAGACTGTTAATCTTGAGGCCAAGGGTTCAATCCCCTTCGTAGCAACATTTTCACCTCGAAGCTGAGAATTCAGGTAACATTTCAGGCTTCGCTACAACTTTAGTATAGGTACTCTTCGGATACTTTTCGAACATACCCGTTCTGATTTTATTAGTCTATTTTATTATAAGTCATCATTTTACTATATTAATATGACCATCCAGAAACAGAAAATAAAATCTGTAAAAGCCAATGCCCAGAGTCGAACTGGGTATCTCTTCATTACTAGTGAAGCGCTGCACCGGTTAGCTTCATCGGATATAGTTCGAATTTAATAATATTATTATAATATTCCTGTTTTATTTTAGAATAATACAATACAGGATGAAGATCATATTTCTTCCATCCGAATATCACTTGCTAAATACATAATACCGTGTCAACTACCGAAAAAAGACAATTCCGCAAAATAATTTACTTCAGCTAACCCTTTCCAATCTCATGTGAACAAAATCTTCCCAACCTGCTGCATGAAGAACAGCAGTAATTCATACATCATTATTTGCTACGCACTACTCACATTTATGGAAGAGATATTTTACTCGGACTCGACAACAGTGCCTCATACTCCTTGATCAGTCACTCTGCCACAATCTTTATTCAGTCTGAGTGATAAACATAACGTTTATTATCCACTTCAAATATCGGCTTCAACCGGATCGAACCATGTACCAACATGCTGTAGCCGGTTTAGAAAATGCCACGATTATACCTTCCTTCAATCATATTAGATAAATATATTAAGCAAGTTGAAGATCGAGAAATTTATCTACAATGTGAAGCTCTTGATACTTCAGTTCATTATTATGTAAACGCGTGACGAACCCCATAAACAATCTTTCCAGCTTTAAATTATATTATAGTCAAGAAGCTAAAATTAGGCGGAATCCACGAATCGAACGTGGGGCCTGACCCACCCTAAGGGTCAATCATACCACTAGACCAATTCCGGTTAGTATTATGAAGCTTAGAAAATTCTGTTAATAAACGCAATGTCATTTCAATTATTTACTAGCATTTCTTGTATTTCAAAAACCCCACCCCTCCCGGAACGCAGTGTGATTTTACTGATGTATTACTTGCATTGTCTTGATTTTAACCGCATCCATTTATCAAGATGATCAAATTGACCCCAGAATTAAGAAGACATCCAATTTACCTAAATCCGGGCTATATTATTAAATCAGGTATTTCGTAAACATTCAGAAAAGACGCCATAGTCATATCACCACGGGTTTAACCCCCGGTATCATGACCTGTGAAAACGTTATGTGGGTGTTTTATTCACAGTTACGATCATGTGACACCTTATAATAACATATACGACTCTCTAGACATCATACACTTTGCACAGTAGTCACATAACCTATGGTCATCGATTGAATCAGAAGCACGTGTGTACACATGTGTTGTATGGGGATGTACATTTGGTCGTTACTATTCTAAGTCATGCTTCTGTGGTTGTTTAGTTGGTATATTAAAAAAATCAACGTTGTACTAAGTATTACATACTATGTATTACAAACATAAAGCACAAGACACAATGGTGCACAATATAATACATCAGATCACTGTTGTGATTGAATTGTGTATATCAGATGTTGTTACTGCGTCCTACATCCTTATTGTTATATATTGTAGTCTTTTACATGATGGAATACTTTCTCTTTTCTTAGTTGAGTTTTCTAGTATGACACTCGCTTTTTTATAAGCGTTTCAGTTGTAAAATCGACAGGATACATCACATCCTATCCATGCGTTTGCTGTAGACCTATGTATAACATATTTAGAGCTCACTACTTCGGTGGTATACGGTATATTTTAACGGGTGCTTAATAACTGGTGCATGCCCTCTAGAACCTGGCTCTTTAGTAACCAACGAGGTATCTTCACCACGTTTTGTGGCTGCAGATACGCGTTTGTTGTATTCTGCAGCTTTATTTTCCTCTGCCTTACGCTTGATAGTTACCACTTTCTTGTCTGTCATCATAGTAGACACGAGCACTCTCATTTCATTCTCATATGGGAGTGGACATCAGCCAAAATGATATAAACGCAACTGATCCAGTAAATCACCAGGTTGCATATTAGAATATTCCGCTTCACCTCGCTCAAAATATACACAAATAACCTAATCATACCTCAATAAAAATGTGGTACCGTACTGTTTGCCATTTGGTCGACGTCTTGCTCATCATCCACGTTCTGTCGCATGGTTTGTACAGTTTTAGCTAATACTAGTTTCGGAAACGAAACTTCTCCATCACGTATAGTATCTTCGGGGCTATATATCAACCCGCTGGCACGGCTATCACTCGTTACAACAATATTTGTACGCCTCGTTTCTTGCGATGTTCGGTGTGTTGCCCCATTCTCTTGTCAATCTTTGATGCCTTCACGGGGATTGTATTTGCAATACCCGTTGCTCCCATTGCTGGGGCTGTGGGTGTTATGTTCGTCTAAGCCATTATCTGTAACTCTTCACTGGCGAGGATAAAAATCATTGACAACAGCCTGTCTGTTATGTTATCATCTTTCCTCCCACCTTATATATCATAAAATCCGTCAATGATATAGTTTTTTATGGGCCCTGATTCGCCAGTCGATCCCTTGGTCTCATTGTCGTCAGCTTCGTTGTCGCATTGTCATCGGCTACATTGCCATCGGTCTCACTAACCTTCTTTAGCGTCCGAGTTGTTCATTCAGTGTTTGCAACTACAAATACTTTACGTTTCGACCAGTCTATGTTGACTGTTACCCCATCACCGATATTTGAGTATATGTATGTTCATACCGTATTGCCATTCCTGGATCAAGTATATCTGCCCCCTTCCAGGTTGCACTTCACATATGCGTAATATATATTATTGACGCGACCAGACTAATTTATACATTGCGGAACTAATGATAGCATCTGCGTTTGAAATGGTGTCTGTATTTTTTTATTAATCTATTCTAGTTAACTGAATAACTGAGTTCTATTATCCATTGTTCCAAGATAGCGCAGCACTCACCCGTTAAGGCGTTGCTACTTTCTTGGGTCGTGATACGATGAGATGTACTGAATAAATTTCCTAAATACATAAAATGATCATCAAATAGCCCCTTCCCGTCTTGTGTTTCTGTGTGTGTATATTTCGTAGTTTGTATAGCTATGTTCAGATTCAACAAGGGTAGCAATATCGCAACTTCTTACATTAATAACCTCTAGTATTGTCAGAAGATAGTATAGAGGTCCCGAATGCAGGTTCTTCCGTCTTTAGCTGCTGTGGGTATGTTTCAACCAACCCTGTCACAGTGCATCCATATTGATTTCACTCGACTCTGATATCCAACTTTTGCACACAGTACATCACACTGCACCACACCTATTCACTGTATAGCCAGAGCGATCAATTTCGATCCACTCTCTCTACAAAAAGTAATGCGTCATGATACAATTCAATCTAAAAAAGCGTTTTTATAAATATATCTGTGATTTTCTCGCGATGATGTAGTTTTCTATTTCATATTCCCATCCGTTGTTGAAGATGACTTTGAACTCTCATTATTATCTACACATCTATTATCCGTTCCTGTTAGAATATCGTTAAATAATTTCTATTGATTATTCACTCTAGCACTATGTTCGTTATATATACACAGTTTTTCAACCAAATATCTAGAACAACCAATCTTCTTTAAAGTTGGGTGGCTTCGTGTGGCAAAATAGTACTATATAATGGAAAGTTGCATGTAGATATATTTAACAAAATCACAGCTGTTACTCTTCTCTCTCCAAAGTTATATTTGTGCGTTCGTGGGTTGAATCGATGTATACCCAACTGTTATTCCAGAAAGGGTTTCATCAGTTGTAGATGTGTTGTCAATCGACGGTTCTCAATGGCGTCTACACAAGAATCGGTTATGATTGCATGTATCAATGCAACCGCACCGTGCACTAGGGCAGTAAGCGACTTCTCGTCTTTGTTTGTGTAGAAACTCCCTCTGGATTAGCGATCTTCGTGTGTTTGTGTTGCTAAATACCGTTTATATAACATTTGACTGGGCAACTTGCGTGTGGGTGGCGGCAATGTCACGCCTTCTTTCACTGACAGTTTTACAGCCTGTCTCAATGATAATATTCCTACAATATAATCAGACAATATGAATGATATAGCAGTGTAAACGTGACCTGCTATACTTTGGTGTTATTATTGGCATGCCGCTTAAAACCCTAGCGATATCGCTGTACGATTATTGTAAACGTTTATCCAACAGCGTTGAGAGTTTAAGTGCCCTCATTTCTTTCCCTGTCTTTGCAGACAGATCTGATATAGTTATAGCGCGAGATACGTGCTTCTGTATACTTTCTTTGGGTGATGTATTATATACATTTGTAGTAGTTTTTGCTACGTACTTATTCGACCTCTCGTATACTGATGTGCTGTTGTTTGTTGCGCATCACTGCTCATTGGCTCTATAATGCCACAAGCAGCCTCGTTTAGCAGCAGAGTGAGATTTGAAGGATGCAATATATACGACAGCCCAAGTGCTTCACTGGCAGCACTCTTTACCGTTGTGATACAGCCTACTTGATTTGGTTCGCAAGTTATTTGAAGGCAGATTCCGTTTAGTATCACTAGATCAACTAAACGCATCCCATATATCAGTAACAGATGTCATAAACCCACACTTTACAACCTCTGTTATGTCTATCTACGATAGAACCCACAATATTCTACCACTCTCATCGCTGTTCAATTACTACAGTCGCCCCATTGTCTGCTGTTGGACTCATGGATGTGTTGTTGCATATTGGACGTCATCTTTTCAAATTATGACTAGCGACTGTATACATGCCTCAATAAGTGCACTGACATCGCCTGCCTTTATTACAATCATCACAACATGTGCCTTATACATACAGTAAGCCATGCTTAATAAGGTCTTAAATTTGGGTTGGTTTCGATCGATGACCATCTAGCAGATTTGCGTGTACAAGCACATCATGCGTTTCCAATGTGGCACTGAAATATATATACGGGAGCCAAGTGCTCTAATGTGATGCGCTTTACTTATTTGTTTAAAAATGCATAGGTTTTTGTCTAATTACAAATTCAATACAAGCAACGACATGTTCTTAATCATCGTATCCCTTTGGGGGGTAACTAACAAACAACCAACAACAACAAAAAACAAGTACCATTCTGCATTCGAATATGCATTTTTAAACAAGGTTAGTAAGATCTTGAAAGAACAAGAAATTACAAAAAGTTGATATTAATCAAAATATACAATGGAGAAGTTTGGTTAGTGACTTTAAAAATCCTATTATCCATCATACTCTGCTTTTAAATTCCTATTTATGATGTTACATTGTAGCTTGAAAACTAGGCAGGTATTCAATATCAGTAGTGGCACTGTGACGGTTCAGTTCGACTGAAACTATAGGAATGTAACAAAAAAAGGAGTCAATAACATGCAGAACTCTAGACAACTATAAACTATGTGGTATTACGACATATATACCTCTATACTTTCGGCACCGCCAACATTAAGTTATCTCTCGAATGATTTTTTCATCCCCCTGAATTCTCGAATTTGTTCCGGGTTGATTTATATTGAAATTGTATATATCGATATGTTTTGACTTTCGCAATCTCAAATATGAACACTTCTATAATAACTTCTTGCAATCAGTTAATGATAAATAATTCGGGAATCTGATGAGAATATTATCAATATTGTTTGTTTCATAAATAATATTGACAATTTACGAGTCAAGCATCCTTGCTCATGGCCCTCAAAGAAGAAAGAAGGTGCTGGGATAATTTATAAACCTGCGACTTATTCCAATGGGCCATAAATATGTGATGATAGTTTATATATAAACATATCCATATGCGCGTTTATATGTATACTACTTATATGATAATATATTTGAAGGTATACTTACTTTACATTTTGCCATATAAGCGTGCTAAGTTTGTGAGCGGTAAAAAGGTGCCGGGCCGCGGGCAGCTTCCGCGGCAAGCATTGAACCAATGCACACCAAACCCCGTCTCTCCTTCGATAATACATAACTGCACATTCCACATCGTGATCCAAATCCGTTCCTGGAACGCGTAGTCCTTGACTCGCATACGCAATATGTACTCCGCATCGATTTTCCTATGTTCAGCAAAGACCTGTGGCAACAGCGGGAAGACTCAAATAAAATTGTATTGTATTTCAAATTACACTGTATGGTATCCTTTGATATAATGTGATTGTACGGGCATTCACATATAAACTGTCTTTGAAACATCGGATGATGAGAGACTGCATTTCGTTCTTTACACAATAAACGAAAAGGCTCATCCGTCAAACGAGTGTAGTAAGAGTTATCGAGCATTTATAGACAAGTACATATACCACATGATGCCTATCTGGCATATTGATTGTTTTAAATTGTACATATTTTTAAATTGTACATATACAAATATTTAAATACATATCTTCATAAAGTATTATCACGTGTAGCGAATATAAATGCGGTATCTTTTACATAGCTAGCTATCGTATATATACTACCATTACATATGGGAATGCCATAAATACATGTATGTAAGCGTGAACTTCAGTTCTGGCATATCACACATACTAGAGAGAGTTGATGATATGTCTAAATAGAGAGTGACTGTAGTCATTGATGTGCGCAACTTTTGGACATCCTAATGATCAACCATTGTTATTGATTTAGAATGCTATTTCACGCATTATACTATATAGTCAGGCGGGTTCTCTCTGTCATATACTTGCACTACCTAAATGTTGTTTTTATCGGTATATTTCAAGATCATTTCAATAAGCTGAACAAATATCTAAAGATGATTAGTAGCATTATGCGAATAGACGCAGTTTACTTGATAGGGTGGGTGGGTGTGCAAGTGAATGATAGTAAGATGAACGTAATCGAGGACTACATGAGTCCTATATATTATACCATAGTAGAATGTAATAGTACAGAAGACATTTCGGTGATCGTGGTGGACGGAGTCAATATGGCTACTGATCGATAATGACTAGCTGATCCCACTTTACGCACATGATGTTTGCAATAGTGGCGTCCGGTACTCCCCAGACTGAAACAAGTCTGAGCAAAATCCCTGCGAAAAGCGTGCCATGGAATGTACGGTAGTAGGTCCTCATGTAGACCGGCCCGTAGGAAATCTGCTCGTACTAGTCTGATGGCTGTGGTATCACCCTTTTCTTTCTTCTTCGAAAATCAGGAATGACGTCACGAAGTCCACCGCGAAGATTTTTGGAAAGAAACTTGAATATTTCCGTGTCCACCACGTGAGTAGGCGAATTGTTGCCCCCGGAGGTGTGGCCCCTCTTCTGTTTCACGACATTGAAACTTACTCCCAAGAACTTACTGTTGAATTGCAAGTGATGGTCCTGTTCTGCTAGCATGGTATTTTACCGATGTCCAAAGAGAAAGAGCCACGAATAAACAGCCGCGCGTTCTGCAGGAACCAGCGAGTTGCCGTAAAACAACATGACCCATTCGGATAGGACTTTGGGTTGATTAATTACTGCCGTATGATGCGAGCGCCATTCGACTGTGTAACTCCGTGTGATGTGTGCCCAAGCGCTTTTCAATTAATTCGCACCACTTCCGGAATGCGGACCTGGTCACCTTCCAGTCGTTAAGCGCCACTTCTTCATCGTAAAAATACACCGCGAACTGCAACAGCCCCCCCCCCTTAGTTGCGCAAGGCGTTGTTACTGGTTTGCCTTGCAATGTACAAAAATCATGGTAAAACTCTATTGATCTGTCATAGTTGCGAATTGTTCCGCTTGACAAACCACCCGTATTTAGGCGTGATTGCATCGTCGAATAATTTTCTCCACTGAATGACGCTATGTAGGCTTTCATCGACATGGGTCGTAGTACACTGTTGCGAACGGCCACAGCGGCCACGACATCTTCAGTACTTCTGCGATCGCTACTGTATAATGAACCAATCCTGGAGGTAAGATCGTTATGTGTCTTCTATGTCGCATCAGATTTCCCCACAACAAACAATAATTATTGCTGCCGTCAATTGACAATCGAGCTTGCTGATCACTTCCCCCAGTAGAACTTCACGAGGCGTAAGCCCGTGCAGGCTATGATCCCATCGTCTGTGAAAGGCGTGTAGTTCCCTGATTGCTCGATGATGTGCTAAATTGTGGTAGTAACTGCTCGGGAAAATAAATAAATATTCGTTGCTCGTTAGAAATACACCCCAATTTTGATACAGCTCCAGGATATCTCGTGATATCACTGTCCAGGTAAACAATGCTAGGTTGCCCCAGCGGCTCAACTCGTCTGCGGCTAAATTCAGCTTCTCTGGTAATATGCCAGAGCTACCGGCCAATGAATCTGAATGTTTTGACACACAGCTGCGAGATGCCTGAGTTGCGAGTTCATAAGTTTGGAGGGACTGCGTCTCTTTCTCAGACTGTGTATGGCCGTAGAAGAGTCCGTCATCACCAACAGGGAGTCGCTCGGAGTAATGTGCCCTCGGGAGTGAAAAATAAATAAACGCTAGTACTATTGTTCGCAGCTCTAGTACTCAGATGGGCCAGAGGGTCTCTCCCTTGTTCCATGTCCCCGCAAAGGAACGGGTTCCCATGTTCTTGATGTACAGAGTTGCTCCGTATCTTATTTTGTAGGCATCTCCAGTCAACTCTCGATCTGGATCCGCCAACGAAATCGTTCTGCTCTGGAATGTGCTAAAGTGCTTGTTGAGGTGACCTACGTTATTGAAAGTCGCCCCTGATAGTCGTACCCTGGGATATGTCAGTTTTACGCTGTGCTGTACTTCGGCCAAATACGTACATATGTTGGGTACTGCAAATGCTGCCCATTGTAAACCCCTGATAGTCGTACCCTGGGATATGTCAGTTTTACGCTGTGCTGTACTTCGGCCAAATACGTACATATGTTGGGTACTGCAAATGCTGCCCATTGTATTGATCCCATATACGATTGCCATAGTTTCAGTATAATTTTGCGTTGATTTTTGAATGATATTCCGCAAATTGTTGTCGTCAGTTGAGCTATTTTCGCTCCAAAGATGTTCGTCATCCGAATCTGATTTCTGACTAGATCGATGATAACTCTTAGGTGCTCTAAAATTCGTACGGCCATCTTCCACTGTCCCTTGCAATCCTTTAAATCCAATCCCCACTCGCGGTTTGAGATTGTTGATGAATGCCTGATCCTGGTAGATTATATATAGACTTGCTAACAGCAGCAAGTCGTCCACGTATAGAATTATCCGGATGCCTTTCGATCTGCATATCATTCGCACGGTGTTCATTAGAAGATGAAAGTATCTAGGGCTGAATGTTGCTCCCATAGGCAAGGCCAAAAAACACCAGAGCTGCCCTGTTCGGTCCCGAAACTGTCACATTGACGGTGTCACATTAGATTTGTTTCAATGTGAATAGGCAGAAATTGTACCAATTCTTTAGCCGCAAAAGCTCGTCCTGAACTGCATCCTTCTGCGTATCATACCAGGAATTCAGCGAGCAGGGTCGTGAGCGAAGACCCTTTGGAAATGAACCTTCCTCGATGAAATCAGTATTTACCAGATTCTTGGACTCCCCGGTCGATACATTGGCTTCGGCGGGGCGCACGTTGTCTTGTAGGACGGTGGCGAATTCTAGATTTGATGTCCTACCGAGTGGGGTCTTTATGAGGTATAGCCCCGAAGGGCCGTCGGTTGGAACTGAGTAGCCTGTACGATCGGATTCTTCTTGTACTTGAAGTTGTCCTAGGAGTCGTTGGGCGATAACGACGTTAGCGTCTTCGTTCATTCTAGAGGTAGATGAATAAGTATATGTTTTGGAATGACCTTCACTTCGACCAAATAATAAAGTGAAGGATAATAAGATGAATGTAATCGAGGATTATACGAGTCTTATATACTATATCATAGTAGAATGGAATAGTACAGAAGACAGTTCGGTGATCGTGGTAGCTCCAAAATAAATTTGTGCTGAGTTACGTAATTAGTGACGTAGTCAATAATTATGTAACAAGGCGCAAAAAAAATTAGGACCCAGCCACTATTACCGAATTGTATCCCAACATCTGATGATGTAGAATATCTAAGAAAGTGCAACAGTTCACGTACGCACATATATATATTACACTCATAATATAGACTGTTACGTGCATATCCCGCCGCCAAAACTATTCACATGTCTGTACATAATAACTATGTACCCGATAAAGTTGTTCATTATACGTTCTTCCACAAAGGAGAAAATAAAAAGGTACACATACACGCTACAGTACGCTTAATCTATTATGTCAGTTTCTCTAAACACCATAGCTACAGGTCATAGGTTCTTC